ACTTACCAAAATTTCAGTCTGTCATATGGAAGGAAGTACGATGTAGATTTGACACTATTACAGATGACGATAAAAGAATATTATAGAGACAAACTAGCAATATGCATTATCTTAGATGTTAAAGTAATGTAGATGAATATTTAGTATGTAAATTGTTATACACTCGCCCAATTTTGAGTAATGATACTAAATGTGTAGTTTCATATATATATTCAGAAGTCTTTGAATATACTGTAAAAATAGGATGAATACTATTTTACTAGTCTGACCCTACAGGAATTGGAAAAAGTCAAACTCAGACTTTTTATGTTTGTAAATACTTTTTAGACAGTTTTGAGTTCATATTTGTAGCTCAAAACCTAGCAAATATTGATTTGAATGTGAAATTCTAAGATCTTCTGAAGAAAGTGTAAAACACAAACATATTAGAAAAAATAATTTCCATGAAAACCCAACTCTAAGAAATACATTTAATTAGACTTCTAGCTAAAAACAACCTGTGTTTCAGAGAAATTGCATGGCTAAGTTTTATAACTTAATAAAAAAAGTTTGAAAAAGCAGGTTTTTCTTACCAATAATGCTTTTGTATTTGACATAGTAGATTTAAAGTTCAAATTAGGAAGGCTAGTTTTTTTAAAAAAAATCACCTACCATCGGTCTAAAATAAAGTTTTATCATACCCATATTTGGGGGTATGTTGAGGAAAACATCCCTGTGTACTTGTGAGTAAAGTATAAATTTGAAAAACATTAAAAAACAACATGACAATGTCCCTCAGGACAGACAAGGCACGTACTCATTCAAACAATGTTGAAAATTTCATTTGAATGTAATTGCTTGTGAACTCCAAGGTAGCTATACAAGGATGCTGATTGCACTATTATTTGTATTACTAAAATAATTAGTAACTAATTGAATAAATTGATACTACACAATGATAATTTCATTGAAAAAACAGCAGATCTGTATTACTGGTATAAACAAAGTTTCAGGATATTTGTTTGTAAAAGTGTTAAATCCCTTTAAGATGCTTCTTATATTTTTCCCCCATAAAATACCCGAGAAACTCTTTATACTAGATTAGGTCTTTGTACAAGATTAGGCAGATGGGAATCGGGGAAGAATACGGTTACAGACTACTTTTTATTTCATACCTTGCAGAATTATGTGCATATATTAACTCTTCTTTAAAAAGAAAAAGGAGAACAGGAAATAAAACACCTACGTTTCTTACTGAATGGTAACTGAACTCCTTATTATATCACTTTAGGGCATTCTGCCCTTTGGGAACCTGCCTCTTAAAAGTTATTTTTTGCCATTTTTCCCCTTTAATTTCTGGACTCATTGGGATACTTCCTGGCCACGTCCCTCTGGTTACTCCCGCCCTACTTTTTAGCACCACTGCCCCCTGCTGGGGGACCTTGGCCTTGTTTCCAACCTTATTCCAACTCCCTTCCTTTTCATATTGTTTTGTTCTCTTCTCTCCTCTCTTCTCTTTCTTCTTCTTTCCTCTCCTCTCTCCTCTCTCTCTCCCCTAGGGATTGAACCTAGGGCCTAAAGCTACGATCCCCAACTTTTTTTTTTTGAGACAGGTCTTGCTAAGTCGCTGAGTTGACAGGAATAGCCTTGAATTTGTGATCTTCCTTTCTTGACATCCCTGAGTGCTTCAATTCCAAGACTTCCTTTCCACTCCCATCTTTTATATCTGCCCCAGGACACAATCTTTCCTAACTACAAGCCATCAGAACCCCCAAACTTGTTCAGTTCTTTCGGGACGCTTTCCTAGTGCTGGGCTCTAGGATGCCTGCTTTCGGGAGCCACAGAAGATCCGGATCTGAGACTGGAGCCCCTCGGTAATCCCAGAGCGCCTGGCACAGAGCAAAGGTTGGAGGTGCCCAGGAAGTGTTCATGGTGTGTTAAACGCCGGGCGGGTGCGCTGTCGGGGGAGGTGAGTCTGTCTGGAGAGTGTCTGTGGCATGGGCAAGAACGAGCGCTGTCATGCGTGGTTGTTAGGGCTGGGAATTGGGACGGGAATTTGAAAGACCAGCGGCTGTCCTGTATTTCCGGTGAACAGTCCATTCATCTCTAAAGAACTTCAGGGACTGGTTCGGGACCACCTGCAGACACCAAAATGCACGCATGCCGAAGTCCCTTGTGGACAATGGCATGCGGCCCCCACGCATCTTACATAGTTTAAATCATTTCTGGGTCATCCTACCTAACGCAGTGTAAGTGCTGTGTAAATAACTGTCTCACTGTATGGTTTAGGGAATGATGCCAAGGAGAAAAGTCTGTACTTGTTCAACACAGGCACATTTATGCATGTTTCCCACCTGTGCTTGGTCGAATGTGCAGCGCAGAACGGGGAACAGGGAAGGCCATAGTGTGGCTAGAAGGGGAAGGCACGGGGCCGTGGCTTCTTAACACCTTGCTCTCTGGGTTGGAGGATTGGTGACTCCGTCAGGTCCACAAGCAGAATTGAGGGCAACCCCAGGCCTGAGACCCCCATCTCTGGGCTCCTGGTTTCCTCCTCCTTTTCTCACTGGTACAAGAGCCTCATTGTGTACAAGGCTCCCAGCCCACAAGGTTAAAGTCCACCCTTTCAGGTGTTGGCTCATCATTTGAATAATCCGGGAGCTGTGCTCCTGAGCCGAAGACTCCCTTTCGGGACCTGCTTAGTTGAGATGTCACTGCCCTGACAGTCAGGCACTTAGGCCCAGACAGAGAATCACAATGTGTTCCCTCCCTCTCTCAAATTTTCCCTAACAATTAATGCCACACTAACTTGACACCTTCTTTTCCTTGTTTGGCTTTGTAAACCCGGGCCCTTTTTCCCTATTAATTCCAGACATTAATATTTTCTTTCACGCAACTGCCGCCATTCACCCATGAAACAGTTTGAACATTATGTAGCTGTCAAGATGCCTGGGGATTACCCAGTATGCCTTGCCTGTGAGAAAGTGACACCAGCGAGGCCGGGTTTTGAGATGTTTATTTTGAGAGTACGCTGACAAGCATGAAGGCCTGATCCCACAGTGGCAATTTCATTTAATTAAAGGCCTCTTTTTATTATAGTTTTCCCCCACTTTATATATATATATCAGAACAATTGGTAGAGTCTGACTAGCCAGAGGTGTTCTCTCTTGCACTGGTAAGGAGAGTGGGGTGGGCAGATTGCTAGCTCACTGCTGAGAATTCACTGGATGGCTGCGAACGCATTTAATTTTACTCTCCTCCCCAGAACTGCTGCTTGGCATGGGTGTGTGTGTGTGTGTGCGCGCGCATACCATCAGGGCTGGGCTTCTCCTCTTAGGTGGCCAGGCTTAAAGTGTGAGGGTGGAATATGTGTATATCTCCATCTTTAACTTGTTTAGTGTGTGTGTGCGTAAGATCAGTACCTTGGCATGACCAGAACTCTAAATTCTCAAAATTGTGCCTCAGTGAATCTGTGAAGATATTCTGAAGAATGTGCACCTCTGCTCCGTATTGATGTTACGTGCAGCTCACACAGTCTGGAAATCTCTTGCATTTGTTTTCACTGATTTTTAATACTGGAGCTAACTAGAGACCTAAACAGGATTTAGGGAAAAAAATGATCAGAACAATTAATGATGAGGTTCGGGGGTTCAGTAACTGTTTGTGGCAGAATACCCTAGCTGATTTTTGATCAAAGGTGGACAGTGGGAATCAGGGAGGTAGCCCTTTTCTAAATGGGAAGTGGATCTGCATTCAGAGTGGGGTGGAGGGAGAGATGAGGTGATGGAAAAATAAACAGATTGAAGACACATGCACGCACCAACTTTCCACGACGAACAAAATCAGCACGTGTGTACTGCAAACATGTACTGATAAAATTAAAAGGGTAGCATCCTTGGACAATACTGGTTTGACTTTAATATCAGAAATTCATTTCAGTGAACCTTCTGGGAGTCTATCTCGGCCACCGACTGAGGCATTTGGGATGGATCAGTAAACAGGACAGACTGTTAGTCTTTGCTCCCTAATGATAGCTCTGTTTCAAAATCAACTACAGCGTCACTCCCCAAATTGAGTTATTTTTGTAGCACTATCAAGTGGCCATCATTTCTCCCCTCCCTGACTGCTCATTTATTTGTGTCCTAATGAGCAAGTGTGTCCACGGCACTGTAGGGTGGTACACATGCATGCATGTACCATGCAGGCTTCATACATAATTCATGCATTGTGTTTGGAGGCATTTTTGGGGGGGTGTTTCAACTGATCTTAAAAATGTGGAGGAGGATCTGCCATCAGCACGTCATTTTGTTTTGGGCATAGTAACTTGTGGGACATTATTCATTCCTTTTGGCATCTGTTTCAAAACTCCCCAGGAGGAGCTGGGCAGGTCACTGGTGTCAGGGCTGAGGCCAGCTGCAGGCCTGGTGGATGTGGAGTTCAGCTGGCCCCAGAAAACAATGTACACAGCCTTCATGCAGGTGCGGGGCCAGCAGAGAACGGCAACTCTGTCGATTTAATCTCTACACCCCCCCAGTTTGAGTCTGAATCCCATCGCCCCCTCTTTTAAGCCAGTGGCTCCAGAGATAGATTTATTTATTATGATTATATTTTGAAGTATAGTGTTGTGTTGGATCAGCCATCTGGCTAAATGCCTGCCAATGGTTCTTTCCCTCTCCATGAACTCTGCTGTCCTAGAAGGCATGAGCTTCTCCCCGGGACTCCTGGCACTGATGTGATTTCTTGGGTTTTTGTGGATAATGGAGGGGTGACATATCCACAATGCAACCAAGCAGAAAAAAGCTCAAGGAGCCTGTTTCTGTTCTACCACTGAAGGCAAACAGGAATTAGACATCTAACCCCAAATTCTTTCATCCTCTCCCTCTCTCCCTCTCCCCCTCTCTCCCTCTCCCTCTCTCACTTGGAACTCTGTACAGGGATTTGTTTGGACTGGGATCAGTGGATTGCAATCCTCACATAATGTATGTGGACTTAAAATTCTGTCTTGCTCTCTTTTTCTTTTCAAGGCACAAGTGATCCCTATGTGAAATTTAAGCTGAATGGAAAGACGCTGTACAAAAGTAAAGTCATATATAAGAATTTGAATCCAGTTTGGGATGAGCTAGTGGTGTTGCCAATACAAAGTCTTGATCAAAAGCTACGTGTGAAGGTAATCACAGATAGCTTTAAAATCTGCTCCTTTATTTCAATTATTTACTTCTCAGCCTCTTAAAAATGCACTTGCTACAATTCTTTGATTGTTTTCAAGGACTCCGTTCAATATTAATAACATAGAAGGGATTTTTCATTACAGTTGAAACTGGACGTCTCAAGTCAGTGCAGTATGCTCTGTGGAAACCAAAGAGCGAGAAGATCTCCACTGACTGTATTTAAACTTACTGACTGGAAGAATTACTGCCTGTAGTTCAGTGGCGACACATCCTAGGGCCTTTCTCATTAGGAATAACTTTCTTCTTAATAGAGCTTCAAGCTACCGTTGTAAGCATCAATTGCTCTAACATCTGGGGTTAAAACTGCATGAGTTGAGTGCACAATGGGCTTGCTGCTGAATATTTAGCAAATTTCAATTTAATTGGCAGATCTGCTCACCGTGGAAAATACTAAAGTTTAACGAGAGGCTGTTTAAACTACAGAGAGTGGCCCATTGTGCAGAATGGTTTCACGAGTAGGAGTTCTGCCTTAAAAGCATTTTCTGCTGTTGTTTGGCCTGAAATATGCAAAATGGGCAAGGTTAGAAAATTCCGTTCCCTGTATAGGCTTGGCTAAATCTCTCTTTAACTGAACTATGCAAATGACTGTAAGGTTTGAACGATGGATCGCAAATTTCCAAACCTTTGGTATTTGTTCATAATTTGACAAATGCATTTCGTCTACCTTCTTGGTGTGTGTGACTGGCCTCTGAACTTTTTGTAGGTGTACGATCGAGATTTAACCACATCTGATTTCATGGGTGCTGCATTTGTCATTCTCAGTGATCTGGAGCTTAACAGGTATTGTGTTTTTACCTTTCAGTTATTATTAATGAATTTTATAGAGATCTCAGGATGTTGTTAAGTGGTTCCTCTGGAGCTCAAATGACAGAACAATTTGAATGAATGCAAGAGTACTTTAAAATGTCATAACTGAATATACTTAAGATTTTTTGGTTTTTAGTTGCTAAATATATTATTCAGACCTTGTCTTTTATAATGTATTTTAAAATGTGTATTGTATTTTGTATTTCCACGTGCTAATATTGAGGTTCATTAACATAAAACAAATATTTAAATTTTATTTTGGTGGTGAGGAGGCCGATGATTTAACCAATTGTCAAATTAAATGATGCCGAACAATATCTCCGCTCTGTTTATGCGTGGTTTATTTTCACTAAACTTGGTGCCTTTTTAGCATTGTGTCTGTTCTTTTCCAGAGAGAGAAGACCTTCTCCCACAAACTCCTGATACACTGTAGGACTGCACCGTATTTCCGAGGAACAAAATCATTTTCTGCTTTTGGTTTTCTTGTAGAACAACTGAACACATTTTGAAATTGGAAGATCCGAACAGTTTAGAAGATGACATGGGAGTGATTGTGTTAAATCTGAACCTAGTAGTAAAACAAGGTGATTTCAAGAGACATGTAAGTGTAACCATTTTTCTTTTTTTTTAGACCCTTTATTTTGATTTTCTTTTGAATACTAATCTAGCAGGCAACTAATATGGTTATAATCATTCTTTTGGAAGAAATTTTTTGATAGATAGATGTAGAGACTACCTATCTGTCATTATCCACATCCTCTCTTTTGAAACACTAGGAAGAAAATCCACTAAGGAATTCCATTTTGGTTAGGGATATGGTTAGTATTGCTATTATTAAAACCTATATGCTGTGGAAGGTTTAGTTATAATAGGTTATTTGAAATGCACATTTCCTAAGTGTTCAAGTTCTTATTTAGTAATTTTTTAGATCAGACGAATGAGGTATTATTCAGTTATGAAGAGCAGTTCCCAGGATTTAATTATTGAATTGTATATCATTAATATGATCATATATACAACATAAGCATTATGATTTCTTTTTCATCTCTCCTTTAAAAAAATTTAGCTACTAAGTTTTCCATTGGAAGTGTTTTCTGGAAGACACACATTTTAATGTACCCTTATCTCTCATGGAAATGTCTAGTTAATCCCCTTAGACTTTGTCCAGATGTGACCTAGGCAGCTCCTATGTGCTGATATGTTTCTGCCGCTCATCTGAAGTTCTGCAATTATATTTTATAATTCCAAAAATTAAGACAATAAAATCCATCTTTAATTTTACTTGAAAGGCATTTTTAAAGCCAACTGAAATAGTTGAGAAAGAATGAGACGTGCTACAACTTAGCATGTGTGAAAATCTAGCATGAAAAACCTGAAACCTGTTTATGAATTAAGCTTCCAATAAAGCTTCTTTAATTCACGCAGAGCAAACAAGGGGGATATTCTTCATTTCGACATCACGAACGTGACTTAGTTCTGATGAAAGTAATGACTGATTTGTTAGTAAATTCACTGAAGCTAATTTAAAGGCATACAAACGCTGGACTGTAATATTTCAATTGACAGAGGACCGGCAATAAATATATGTGTGTGTGTGTGTGTGTGTGTGTGTGTGTGTGTGTGTGTGTGTGTGTGTGTGTGTGTGTGTGTGTGTATTTAAAATTTGAAATCCTTATGAGAATTTACTTCTTGATAACAACAAAATAAAACTAAATTGATTACTTTTAAGAACAAAAAATGCCTCTGTTCCCACTTGTCACTTCAGTAAAACCAGTCATTTTGAGGTGAAAATGCCTGAAGTCGGTGTTGAAAATAAGCTTATATTTTCCTACCCCACATAGTGAAGGAAGGCTGTGCTTCAGCTTCACCTTAGTCTGGATGGTGAGGTGACTGCACCTGCGACTCTGGGCTCAATGTCAGTGTACACAGATGTGGATGCCAGGTTAAAATGATACGTGTTCTATATGAGTATCACGTGCCCTGTGGCTGAGTCATCACCAGCCAATGTGTTCTCGAAATTTGCCACGTATTTAAATGGCCTTTGTAAAGTTGGATGCTTTCCCCATGAAAATAGTTGTGTACTTAAATGACTACTCTTGTGAATTTCTTGTAGTGTATCAGATTGTATTTAGCTCCGTATCGGCCCTTAAAATACAACTGAAATATTGCCAAATTTGGAGTTTTATAGTAGTGGCGTTTCAGTTTTAACTTCAAAGTGCAGAGCTTCTAGTCCTAGATGAAGCAATGATTTATTTTTGTAAAACATCTCAGATCTTCTCAAAGTTCAACAAATACTCACAGTCCTCATTTTGTGTAGTTTGACCCTTTTTCTTTTGACTTGTCAATTCCAATATTGAAGAGTTTTCCAGATTGTTTACTCCAGTGCCTTTTTATTCTTTGTTAGTCTGGCAGTAGTACACTTATTTTATATGTTATATATTCTCATGAAGATATTGCAGAAAACCCTGCCTACCCTCATTTTCTCAGATTGGTAGTTTTTCCTTTTTATATATTTGATCAAATTATAACCAAAGAATAATTAATCGCAGCGTAATTTATTCTGGGCCATATGTGGTTATCCAATTTACAGCACATATCATAGGTCCCTTGGGTATGATAGGTGAGGAAAAGCATTTGTTCTTTTTATGGAGTTGAAGCTACTATTTAAAGGCATCTTGATATTAAGCTTTGAAGTGGAACTGCACTTGGGACTGGGAGAACATAGATTATTTGAGTACAATTATCTATTGATAAATGTCCATCTTAATTTATACCCGGATGGAGAAATTTCTGTTTGAATTCTCAGTTTTGTACCCACTTTTTATTTCCATCATCATTAAAGCAGATGATATCAGCTGCTATGGAACCAAATAGACAAACAATCTTCTGTGCAACATTTCTCTGAATTTACCCTGAATCCTATGGAATGTAAGGCACTGTTTGGAAAGTTGACAAACCTATATGCTCTCTTCTTGGGAAAAATAAGGTTATGATTAAAATTACAGATTCTGTCCTCAAGATTGTATGGGTTTGAATCCCAGTTCCCCCTGGAGCCAGGTCTGCTCAAATTCACAGAATTACCGAACCTCTCTCAACTACAGTTTCCTCATGTGTGGAATGAGGATAGGAAGAGTGCCTTCCTCATTCAGTCATGAAAATTAAGACTGTCAAATGTGGTGCCTGGTATGGAGTCGAGATACCCAATTTAGGGTAGTGGATAGCATTGCGTAACCAAACAGTAATAGACATTTTCCATTACAACTCACATTTGCTTTATTTATCTTTTAATGATTGTTATAAAACTCAAATTATTATTACGTACATCAAAGACCCCCTACTAGTCCTATTACACCTAAATGATGACAGTTGATTTCAGAGATTGGATTGGGTAAAAACATTTGCCTCTGTGATGGGGAAACACCAGAAAAAAATTTAATACCCTGATTATAGTACATAACTGTGTGTTTTATGGTGAGTATTGTACTTACCATTTCCCCAGGGGAGGTATTATCAATGAATAATATTTTATTTTTATTCCCATGTTTCTAGTTTCTGGCCAATGGAATAGAAGTGGTTTTCCCCTGAAGGATATTTACTTTTTAGCTTTTAGTTTATTGGGTAGACATACTGGCAAAGCAGACAGGTCATTTATTTTAAGATTTTTTTTTTCTTTTTGGTTAAGCATACTATTAAATGTGGACTGCTCAATTGGGTTCATAATGGAGTTGTAATCTCCCGAATTTGCGCAAGTTTTAACAACCAGTTAGCTAGTTAACCAGCCAGATTAAACCTTTGAAGGACTGGACATGAGCAATGAGAGGATTTTGCTGAGAGAATTTTAATTGTAGATGAAATTCAGCATTATTGCCTGACAAAAGAGAGACCGGAAGAGAACAGAGATGGCAGAGAATGTTGCTTATTGTTGCTTGTTTTTTTTTTTCCTTTTTCAGAACTATATTAATTTATTTTTCTTAACTGAACAATGACAATTCAGATTTTTTTTTCTATTGTTTGAATATTGGCATTAAATACTTAACCTGTGAAGGTAAATGGAATTATCTTCAACTATGGGAAACTTAAACATGAGCTGACAGTGGTCCTGAATGTCATTAACTTTTTCATACTACTACCAACTAAATATTCCAAATAGTAGGAAATTGGCGTTTTACTTTTTGAGATATAGAACTAATATTTCAAGGTAATCTTAAAAGGTATGCTTCTAGGGATTGGACAGTATTCACCTATTCTTGCCTTTATATACTAAATACTTCAGGAAATTTATGGAATACAACCACATGCATGTGATTTTTCTTTGTTTCTATTTTCTTCCTTAAATGTACAGTTTTGGTAAGTTTAGAATATGGGTGTCAATCATTGAGCATAATCTGTAACATATCTCACGATGTAATTATGTTTTTTAACAATTCTGTTTCTGTGTTTCATTTGGCCATTTTCCTGTTCAATGAACACAATCTGTAGCGTTGGTCAAATCGGAAGCGGATGAGTGCTAGCAAGGTAAATATATTTGTTTTTTTCTTTAGACTATTTGGCTAAATATTGGTAGCAAAGACAAATGTGTATATAATTGATATTTTCCAACCTTTACTTATAACAGCAGCCTTACTGATATAACAAACAAGAAAAGGAACAACTTTCCTTTAAAATTTCATCAAATAGAGGTATAGCCAGATGTTTGAACTTAACATTTTTGGTGAAATTTTACATGTACCGCCCATGTTAGAGTTTTATACTTCACTAAGCTTGGGTAATTTAGGGTGTACCGTGGTTAGCCCTAGTCCTTAGAAAGTTATTTACCACTAGATGGAAACTACCATTAATAGTATATGAGCAATCTGAACACTGAGAAGAGTATGTCTTTTTATATGTTCTGAAAAAAAGCATTTATGACTTTTTTGCTTAGAATTTCTTTAAAGATTTCTTCATGCAGTCCTAGTAACTTTTTAGAAGGTTATCGTCTTTTTAATCAGTTAAACAATGCTATCTAATTTATAAAAGCACAAGTATACCCAGGTTGGAGGGCTCTCTTACTTTAATAATTTACCAACTTATTAAATGAGCAAGTTGTAACTTAGGCGACTAAATGTGAAAGTCATTGTAGAAATAAAACCCAGGTTGTATTACAGCTTAAAGTAGCGGCCGTGTTATTTTAAAAGAGAAATAACAAATATCACATTAAATCATGTGATATTTCAGGCTGTTTATCCAGCGAGGGTTCTGCAGAAGCCTGGTATATGATGTGGGTGAGGATATGACAGGAAGGCTGCTGCATAGGCAGCTTTTGGGTAGTGTGATACACAATGTACAAGCTAATACACTAAGCTCACTGTGCTTTGTTGCCTATTTCTCTGTAAAATAAGGAGTTTAAACTGGCAGAACTTCCATTTCAGAAGCTTTTTAATGTGTATGTGTGAGGGCAGTAGTTTGAATTAAAATTTCTTGCTTTTGGGAATCCAAAGGAACCAAAGTTCGGTTGCATACCTGCTGAAATGTGTGTGCTTTGCATTTTTGAACACTTTGAAAATAACTACGAAGAGGTAGTTTGTTACCCTACATGTTCACTTGGTTCCCAACACTCTGATTCTTTGTAGAAATCAAATGAGAAGAGGATAAATAATAGTAGGATGCTGTGTCAAAAATCCCTGCAACATTTGCTTTATTCCTTTATAGTCACTAGAGGGTAGAAGAACATCATCTCTCACCACAGAAGGGAGTGCAGCCCTTGCTCTCCCATATTAAGAGTTTCTGTTACCACCCAAAGCAGTAAAGTTTCCCAGAATGCTTTGGTGAAACCTGACAAAGCAGTATTTTCTTGTTTATTGATTCCGCGGCTGCACTAAAACCCTGCTACTGTACATCAATAACCATCTTTAGTTAGGGAGCTTCAGTCTGTGGAAGAGCACTGGCAGTTTGTGGAAGGACATAAAGGCTAGAAAGAAAAATTGTGAGCTTGGGGAATATTGGAGTCTAGGGAGGATAGAAGAGGTTACGGAAGAATGACCAGAGGGGTAGAAAAAAATGTTGACAGCATGGATAAAGACATCAAAAATATGAAGGGAACAGAGGATGCAGAGAGCAGTATTTAGTGCCATATAGGAATATATATAATTTTTTTTTGTCCGATTGTGTCTTGGAACTTAGCTGTTGGTCCTCCCCCCCATACACACAAATCACGGTAGTTTCTAGAATTTTGACTTCAGTATACTGGGCTCAGGAATGTTATAAATGCCTAACCCTATTTTATGTGTTTAGTGATGTTCACCAAATCCTGTCTTGTTCTTATTTGATACCTTTAAGTGGTATATTGGTGAAGACTTTTAATAGCTGTGTTACTTTTTTTTTTTTTTTGCCTCTGAGAGCAAAACAGAAAATGATATAAAGAGAAAAATGAGATAACTTGCAATTTGGCTTTTAAAAATAAATCGCATGGAAAACCCATGGACACTCTGATTAACACTGTGAAAGTAGCTAGAATATCTTGGTCCCCTCATCTTGGTATTTTTAAACTGGAAATTTCTCTTGTAGCATTTTAATGTTATATTTAATATTATATTTGGCATACTTAGCTATAAGTAGCAAAATTTTACTAGTTGTAATTATCTTACACATAAAATATCATTAACTTTCTACTTCAATCTGATTCTTATAATAAGAACTTTATTTACCAAATTACTTCTTTTCCCTAAAAGTTTATCATTTGCATCATGCCAAATATTCCTGAGTGGCAGAATTTTTATGGGCTCACACTTCCAAGCTATTTCCTTTCTATTCTCTCCTAGATTTCAATATAGCAAATGCAGAGAGATTGCCTTTATTTTTTTTTATTTATTTTTTTTGGTACCAGAGATTGAACTCAGGTCCTTGAGCTTGCAAGGCAGGCCACCAAACTGCTGAGCTAAATCCCCCGCCCTTGCCTTTAAACATTTTAGTTTACAACCAAAACCTTTAAAAATAAGCATTTGATTGAGAATTAAGAATGTGATTTCATAGGGTTTGGATCAACACCTAGTTATCTTTATATCTTTGCTCTCCGTAATCTTTGGAGAGAATTGATCTGTTTCTAAATATTTTTATTCTCGTCTTTCTAAAAGCTAGAGAAATGAAAATTATCAGAGGTTACTTCTTATAGCAGTTTAATGGGGGAAGAGAAAATCTGTTCTAAAAATGGACTTCATAAGCCATTGGTTGTATTCAGGAGCATGCGTACGCGCACACACACACACACACACACACACACACAGACACACTCACTCCTGCCATTATTTGGGTCTGTGGAGACATTATCCCCATACGCAGAGGTTCTTTTAATCTTCACTGAGATGAGTCCAAACTGTGTCTTTAGCTCCTTTTCTCTCCTGATGAGCTGTTTTACACATTTATATATCAGCAATCTAAGATACTAGACATGACTTATACTAGTGTAACATGTGTGTGTGTGTGTGTGTGTGTGTGTGAACTATTTGAGTAGTGGTGCAAATATTTGGCCTATTTGGCTTGATATTTTTAAAAATTTCAGTTCCTATCTTTCACTGCAGCGGATGACTTCAGCATGCCATCATTTTAGTACTCTAGATCATCATGTAGTGAGAAGGTTTGGCACAGGCTTATTTAAATTGAAAGAGGACAGCCAAAGAAAGTAGAAGAAAGCTCTATCATCTGTCCACTATCCATTTACCATCCGTCCATCCATCTATCCGTCTGTCCATCCGTCCATCCAGCCATCATCTTTGCTAAGCGGGTGGATGGCCAGAAGCCAAGTGAGAACCGAAAGGGAGTATTGTGATTGCTTTGTCTAGTAAAATAGTTTGAGTTTGAAAAGAAAGTATTCAATCAGGAATAGATATTTGACCACATATTTCTAGATGAATATATCTCTCTCACAGCAACTCTTTCTCTAATGGAACTTCCATATCTTATTTCTGTGTAGGCCCAGGAAGTACTAGAGGGGAAAAAACCAAAACCAAAACCAAAAAACCTTGTGTAAGGAAGCATGGCTCATATGAGGAAATAAAGCAAGGATATTATTCCTGGAAGGCTTTCCACTGAAGGGAGTCCTTTCTGTTTATTTGTTTTTTCATTTTCACATATCCTTAACCCAGATGTCTACCCATAGTAAAACTGTTTATCCTTTTATTTTTGTGGTTAAACTCAAGGGCTTGGAGGATGGAATACTTACATAGAAGGTATGATAGAAAAATACAGCGAGTATTTACATTAAAACAATTTTATTAGAGCAGAGGACACATTGTCATTAATTCCCCTCAAGTGTGCCCCCTCGCTTAAGCATCCTATCATTGCCGCTTTCTGAAGCAATTCTGGAAGGCTTTTGTGAGTCTCTTCAACTGCATCCACTTTGCTGCCTCAGTGTCCTGAATAGATTCAAAACTTTGAACTCTTGCGGTCATTTTGACTTTGGGGGAGAACCAGAGGTGGCACTGTGCCGCATCTGCTGACTCAAGTGGACAGGAATGCACAGCGGTGTTGTTATGAGGCTCCCTTTCTGTTGGATAGTGCTCGCTAGCAACATTCACTGTTGGGTTTTTGTTTTCTTTTTTTGGGTCTTACTTCAAGATGATACTCACACACACACAAAAGAGCACTTCCAGAACTTCCTCATAAAGTGACAAGAACAATGGGATAAGTGTGTTTGAAGCCCGGGGTTGGGAGTTATTTTGACAGGGGTTAGGTTAGTTATATCTTACTGTAATGCTTTTTTTTTTAGAGTATGCACTCACTGTATATTTGGATCACTTCATATCTCTGTGTAGGCATATGCTGCACCTATCTCTATTTATCTATCCGTGATGTAACATAATCTTATTTATCTGTGTGTCTGTCACTGAGGATGTACCTGCTAAGCATTCTACCATGGAGCTACTCCTGAGCCCTGGACTCTGTTCTGCTTAACTAGCTGTGGCACTACACTGACCCGCTCCTTGATGTCTTAGCCCTGCTCCTTCTGCTACCTTGTTCTGAAGGTAGCTTGTTCTAAACCAGCATCAGCCTGAGTAGTCTGACCTTCAGGGAATTTCCTCCTTTCTGGAGGCTGCACACATGTGCAGGTCAGGCCAGCCACCTAGGGAAATTCTCCAAGCTTCTGCGCACTCTGGGGCAACAGGATGCTAGCTTCCCAAACCTTGCATCAGATCTCTTTTATTGGCGACTTTAGAGTCAGTCTTGCCCCAAACCTCTCACTGAGCATAGTCTTGTCTTACGGTAAGAATACTGTCCTTTACCACATAGATGAAGTAGAGACCTCAGAATGAATGAGCTGGGGAGGGACTTGGGAAGTAGAGTGCTGGGGTATTCAGAGGTGAAGAGAGACCCTTGTCTTGCCTTATAGGTGAGTGGATGGGTTAATGCTGGGCATAAGAGAGCGTTCAGGGAAGACTGGAAGATGAATACCAAATATAAAGGAAAAGTAAATGAATGGAACTATGGTATTATAAGTAATGTGGCATGGCAAGAAATCTAGATTATTTGCTTGAAAACTATTT